ATATAACTAGTAATTCAAATACAATGGTTACTAAACTCTTGAGAATAAGCAGAAGTCCCAACACCTTCACTTTGAAAATTTCAGCAAACTTTTTAACAATGGTGAATAACTTTTTGAAGAACTGCACACAGTTAAGAAGATAATGCAATGACATGTGATCCTAACTGTATTAAATTTGTTTAATTGATTATTTTTATTATCGTTTCAGTAGCCTTAATCTACCTGTACAGAGAATAGTGGAGCAGATTGCTTCGCGCATAAATAATGACTGCACTGTATGCTTCAACATCTTAAGCAGAAATGTGTGGGATGGAGCATCCAGAGCCATTGGGTGGATCAAACTTTGCTCCTGAGAAGAAAGTTGATGTTAAATTTACAGATGACTACGGAATATCTGAAGGCGCTATAGACAATGGAGGTCCTACCTGGGAGTTTTTCCGACTGTTTTTACATGAAGTCAAGGACAAGATTTTCATCTTTGAGTGTCCACCTAATGCAAAAGTCCTCACCTGCAACTCCAAAGGTGTGCATCAATGAATTTAGCAGTAGTTGGTCTAACTGGCTAAAATATGTTCTTAGTCCTTTGTGCCTCAATAATTTTTGTGGAAAAGTATGAATTTGAGGAAATTCCTGATGGTAATTTTGATAGAAATGTCTAGTATGGTAAGTGACATCTGAACTTTAATCTAATTTTTAACAGCAATGAAAGATAATGAATACTACTATGCTGGCCAGATTATGGCAATGTCCATTGGCCATGGGAGGCAGAGTCCATGCTTCCTATCTGACATCTTGTATGACTGTCTTCAAAAGGGTCCAGATAAAGTTATTGTCTACCAAGAAGACATTCCTGATGAAGATACTAAATCAAAAGTTATGTCTGTGAGTATATTTTAAATACATTTTTTCAGACATTTATTTAGATTACATGCACCCATTAACAAAAAAGAAAAAAAAGCATGTACAGGTGCTGGTCATAAAATTAGAATATCATGAAAAAGTAGATTGATTTCAGTAATTCCATTTAAAAAGTGAAACTTGTATTCATACATTACATACAAACTCATATATTTCAGATGTTTATTTTGTTTAATTTTGATGATTACAAATGACAACAAATGAAAATCTCAAATTCATCATATCAGAAAATTAGAATATTGTGAAAAGGTTCAAAATTGATGGCCCCTGGTGCCACACTCTAATCAGCTAATTAACTCAAACCACCTGCAAAAGCCTTTAAATTGTCTTTCAGTCTAGTTCTATAGGCTACACAATCATGGGGAAGACTGCTGACTTGACAGTTGTCCAAAAGACGACCATCGACACCTTGCACAAGAAGGGCAAGACACAAAAGGTCATCGCTAAAGAGGCTGGCTGTTCACAGAGCTCAGTGTCCAAGCACATTAATAGAGAGGCGAAGGGAAGGAAAAGATGTGGTCGAAAAAAGTGTACAAGCAAGAGAGATAACCGCACCCTGGAGAGGATTGTGAAACAAAACCCATTCAAAAATGTGGGGGAGATTCACAAAGAGTGGACTGCAGCTGGAGTGAGTGCTTCAAGAACCACCACACACAGACGTATGAAAGACATGGGTTTCTGCTGTCGCATTCCTTGTGTCAAGCCACTCTTGAACCACAGACAGCGTCAGAAGCGTCTTGCCTGGGCTAAAGAGAAACAGGACTGGACTGCTGGTGAGTGGTCCAAAGTCATGTTCTCTGATGAAAGTAAATTTTGCATTTCCTTTGGAAATCAAGGTCCCAGAGTCTGGAGGAAAAGAAGAGAGGCACTTCATCCACGTTGCTTGAAGTCCAGTGTAAAGTTTCCACAGTCAGTGATGGTTTGGGGTGCCATGTCATCTGCTGGTGTTGGTCCATTGTGTTTTCTGAGGTCCAGGGTCAACGCAGCCACATACCAGGAAGTTTTAGAGCACTTCATGCTTCCTGCAGCTGACCAACTTTTTGGAGATGCAGATTTCATTTTCCAACAGGACTTGGCACCTGCACACAGTGCCAAAGCTACCAGTACCTGGTTGAAGGACCATGGTATCCCTGTTCTTAATTGGCCAGCAAACTCTCCTGACCTTAACCCCATAGAAAATCTATGGGGTATTGTGAAGAAGAAGATGCAATACACCAGACCCAACAATTCAGAAGAGCTAAAAGCCACTATTAGAGCAACCTGGGCTATCATAACACCTGAGCAGTGCCACAGACTGATCGACTCCATGCCACGCCGCATTGCTGCAGTAATACAGGCCAAAGGAGGCCCAACTAAATACTGAGTGCTGTACATGCTCATACTTTTCATGTTCATACTTTTCAGTTGGCCAACATTTCTATAAATCCTTTGTTTTTATTGGTCTTCAGTAATATTCTAATTTTCTGATATGATGAATTTGAGATTTTCATTTGTTGTCATTTGTAATCATCAAAATTAAACAAAATAAACATCTGAAATATATGAGTTTGTATGTAATGTATGAATATAATATACAAGTTTCACTTTTTAAATGGAATTACTGAAATCAATCTACTTTTTCATGATATTCTAATTTTATGACCAGCACCTGTAAGACAGTAAGCTTACAACTGTATAGCTTCATTTGAACCGAAGAGAAAGGCTTTTAATGACTTGAAATACCTTAATTACAAGCTGAGCAAAATTATGATAATAGGTTCTCTCCAGTCTGGGTTGATAACAATCAGCATTGTTAATTGATTTTTTTCAATTAATTATTTAAAAAAAGATAAACTAATGAAAAAAAGCCCAAGAGAAGAGATTAATAAGTTCGGCAATTGTTAAGTTGGCACAATTATCAAAAAAAGACAAAAGGAAAATAGGTGCAATGTAAGAACTGAGCTCTGCCAAAACTAGTACTTGAAATTGGTACTTTTTTGGTTTATGTTATAATGTTTTTCGTAGTGGTTTCTCCTGATCTGATTCTGTGGCTTGTGACACTGATTGTAGGCAATGTGAAGTTATAAAGTACATTGCATAAAAAAACAATTCTGGTGTGTCAATCATACACCTTCCTTCTGACTGGGTGCTAATAAGGGTATAAGTACAGAACTGAACTGTACTGGCATAACAGAACTTGGTAGATACACACCTTTCACATTAGAGGTCAGTCAGGGGCAGTGCTAGCCATTTGTAGGCCCTGAGAACAAATCTCTGTGGTGCCCCTACCTGGAAATGAAAAATGACAAACTATTTTTTTCCCTTTTTTACAAAATAACTTCTCAATATTATTGTTTAAGAACAACTTCAATAAATAAAAAAGGAAATTGAAATATTACTTGGTTTGGCACAAATAATGGTAAGATAATAAAACAATATAACTGTATTTCACCTATGAAGGAGGAAAATTAACAAAGACAACAGATGTAAAGAGGGATCACAATAATAAAACAAATAATGAGTCAATTATTTAACTATTTTTAATTAACAAATTTTTCCCTTCTCAATGACATACTCGGCTGTTTGAATATGTAGCTGTTGTGTACTATGATTATGTACTTGGTGCCCTAGGCACAGTGTGTGAGGCATGTGGGAGAAATACTTGCCTAGACAATAAAGATGGCTTATGTAGCATTGGTTTGTTCAGGCCAATACATAAAAAATATATTTTATTGAAGGAAACCATGAATACTTTATTGAAATCTTTAAACCATGTTATTACTTATTTGTTTTTAAACATCTTTTATACCTTTATTTTTTGTTTTTGTTTTCCATGTTAACACCATGAGGCTTGAAGTAAATAGAAGTGGATTCATGACATTCTTTATTTAGCTGATATAGATTTGATTTATGACTTGCGTTTATTTTTCTTCTCCACTTCTGTACAGTACAAGTCTAGACCTACAGATGGATAGAAATGTATTAACTATTATCCATGTTTCTGTTATATATTTAGATGACATTAAGGAGTACCAGCACTAGACTGACAAATGATGTAAAAATGGGGAGCAGAAATAGAATCAAGCAGCATGATGAAAGTGGTACTCATGCCCTCCATCGGGCTAAGCCTATAGCAGCATAAATATACAGAAAGCTCAGGTCAACTTGAGCCGCTATAAGCTTTATCAAAAAGGAAAGTTTTAAGCCTAGCCTAAAAGTAGACAGGGTGTCTGCCTCACAGACTAAAACTGATAGTTGGTTCCACAGGAGAGGAGCCTGATAACTACAAGATCTGCCTCCCATTCTACTTTTAGAAAGTCTAGGTACCACTTGTAGATCTAGCAACCTCACAATATTCCAACATGAACTAAGAAACCTGTTTAGTATGGGACTTGAAAATACCTGAAATAAAAACACAAAGGTTTTTTATACAATATTATCTGAGATCAATTTAATCCTATCCAGATGAAGTAACTGACTAATCATCTTCCTTTTCAAAGACTCTGGTTCGAAGGCAATAACTTCTGTCATGTCTGGACTCAGAAGCAGAAAACTCACCACAAACTGTTCGCATAGGTTGAAATAACAGTTCTGGAAAAGTGTTTCCTGCAGTTCTTTTATTGTTTCCTGTTGTTCTAGTTAATTGTAAGATATTTTATTCTCCTTGGTATAATTCAACAAATTATGCTTGGTGGGATTTTTTTTTCCTTTTTCGTTTGCTTGCAATGCAGCACTAGATTGTTTCGAGATTCATCTAGTGACTGCAGTGAAATGAAAAAATATTTTTTTTCTCTCTCTAACAAGGTTCAGAGAGGGCTTAAAGGCTCTTGGCGTTCTGGATGAGCTCCTAAGATATCCTGTACAACTGAAGAGCCTTCTCACAAAGCCGGAAAAGGGTTTGACAGCAGCTGGAGTAGAGAATATCTTCTATATTAACTGGTCTGAAAGAGGAAGCAACTAGGGTTGTCAAAGGTATCGATACTCAAAAAAGTATCGATACTGAAACGTTGTATACAATACTCATTTTCAATAGTATCGATACAGCCATCTAAAGTGCAGAATAGTGGAAAATGCACTTTCTGAACACTGTGTGATTGAATAGAGGGATTATCAGGCAACGTCACTCTACGTCACTTCCGGCACCAATGCGCATGTCGCCTGCAGAAAGAGCCGCTAACATGTCTTGTTGTGCTGTCGGTTGCACGAACCGTTTTGATAAAAACAATAAAACGCGCAAGTTTTACCGAATCCCATCAACTCGCACCCCTTTCAAGGCAAACAAGAGACGTCTTTGGTTGCAAGCCATCAGAAGAAGCGATTGGAACGAGCAGATGATTAAAAATGCATCAATCTGCAGCGATCACTTTATATCAGGTAAGTCTTATCTATAAAAAAGCTAAACGGCATCGCTGGTTTTACAAACAATGGTTTTACATACAATTATTAAGTATTACATATATAAACGGGATTAATGAATCGTACAAAACACATTGGAGCATAACTAGCATACAAGCTAATGTACCTTGATTCAGTCTTATCAAGTTGCAACTCATCGGGTCAGCCATAAGTTTTATCATTAACATCATCACGTTGTCTGGTCTAAACTTCTCTGTGTGTGCTGTCTTTTCAATTGATTGACTAGTGTCTGTAATAAAGGTTGATGATGATGATGATGATGATTGCGTCAATACATTATTTGTACAGGAGAGGCATCAGACGACATCGACAGCCCAGACTTTGTCCCGTCTATCTTTCCATACTCAATCCAGCCCGGCAAAGACGGTGTTGCAAAACTGGAGCGGTAAGTATCACATCTGTGTGCTTGATTGTTGTCTGATTACAAGCATGACTCCACATAGTATGACTGGAAGTGCAAAGAAAAAATATTGATATATTGTAGCTATATAGGTTACCCGGGTTAAAGGTCAGAGCATGTAGTTTTTATTAGACATCTCATATGGAGAGTTGGGATGACTTAGCATGTGATTTGCATGGACTTGAATTTAGGAGATAACACCTGTGGAACTGTTTTGTTTTTTTGGGTTTTTTTTGCACTAAATGATTGTTCTCTCCTGTGTGTTTCAGATATAAGAGAAAAAGAAGAAGGGATGCAACCCCCAGCAGGTGTCCAGAAGATGGACATCAGTGTACACCCTCTTCCATCTCTCCAACTGAGTGTGGAATAGAGGCTGGTGCTGATCTATATAATGGTATGAAACCTTATTACTAACCTGACCAAGACGGCCTGCAAACTCATTTGGATTTTTATAAAGGGACGTAGATCTGTGTGTTCCTAAATGTTAACATATTAATTATTTTTTAAATCTTTAAATTTTATTTCAGTTTAACATGGGAACAAAGTCAGAATTCTGAGATTAAAGTCAGAATTCTGACTTTAATCACAGAATTCTGACTTTTTTCTCAGAATTCTGACTTTATTCTCAGAATTCTGACTTTTTTCCCATACTATACGAAAAAAAAAAAAAAAAAAACAGTTAACTTTTTTTTTCCAGTGGCCCTTATCCTCTTCCATACTAGTGTGATTAATCAGTTAGTAATGTTCATATTTGTTGCGAACAGGTATTTGCCCACAGTGTGACTGATCACCCAGAATGTAACCATTTGTTTTTTGTAAAGATAAGAATGTAAAATTTGTATTTATTTTTCAGAAGGTATGGTCCCAAAGACTGTCCATGATGACCTCCAGCTGAAGTACAGCCAACTTCATACAGAGTGTGATAACCTGCGTGAGGACATCAACAAACTGAAAACAGAGAATGAACAATAAAAAGAAATGCTCGGGACTGCACAGTTCTCTTTTGCGTCACTGCAGTGTAAAGCAGCACAGGTGCTGTTTTTCACAGGTCTAACCAGTGCCCTCTTTAATTGGGTCCTGCAGACGATTAAGGACAGTGTTGAGGTCATCCGTGGCTCTCTGACCCTAGAGGATCATCTTTTGGCTGTACTCATGAAACTCAGATTAGGACTCACCAACAAGGATATTGCATTCAGATTTAATGTTAACGAATGTGACATCTCTAAAATCTAAAGAAGTTGGCTGCCTATTATGTCTCAGATTTTGAAACCTTTAATCTAGTGGCCAAGTAAGCATGCTATATTAAAGAATATGCCAAAATGTTTCAAACCTAAATACCAGCGTTGCAGGTGCATTATTGACTGCACAGACATTTTTATTAACAGACCAACAAATTTAACAGCCAGAGCCCAAACATATTCAAATTATAAGAGCCATAACACGGTTAAGTATTTGGTTGGCATGTCACCTGCAGGAGCAATTACATTTCTGTCTGCAGGTTGGGGTGGGCGTGTTTCTGATAAACAACTTTCAGCCGAGTCTGGATTTTATGACCTTCTACAAGTAAATGATGAGATACTAGCAGATCGTGGTTTTACCATTAGAGATGAGCTTGCCTTGTGTGGTGCTACCCTGAGGATCCCTCACTTTACCAAAGGTAAAAAGCAGTTGTCTGCTCAAGAGGTGGAAACATCGAGGCGTTTGTCCAATGTTAAAATACACATTGAAAGAATAATAGGGAGATGGAAAACTTTCCGAATTCTTACTACTGTTATTCCTTTATCACAGGTGGACCTGTTAGATGACATTGTAATTGTTTGTGCAGCAGTGACAAACATTTGCAAATGCATAGTCCCTAGAAAATAAATTAAAAGCCCTTAATTGAATTGTGCCAAAATTAAGGCCTTAATGTTGTTAACATCTATGAATTGAGGTTTAAATGTCATTGAATATTATTTTTTGAAAAAAATGATTCCCTAAGTATTTTCACTGCATAAGCTCATTGAACATTCAAAAGCTGTGGTTTAAAACATTTTGCAGCAGTTTTGGTTCAAAATGTGTGTTGTATCCAGTTTGCTTTTGAATATTGAGATTTTTCCTCATTCCTCTGTTGTATGATATATTTCAAAATCTTAAATGAAATATGCAGATATTTTGCTTTGTGTTTTGCCATTGAAAATAAAACAATTCAATCAGCTGATACGTGTGTAAACCCTGTGTAAATATTAATAAAGTATTCAAGAGTCAAGGAAACATTGAAATATATTTATTCTTGTGCATGTAACCAATAATAAAAATAACAATATTAAACATTCTTGTCATAAGATGCACACTGAGAACCTTAGTGCATACTTTGAATGGTAAGCACAGGTACAGTTACAACTCTATGTTTCAGAGTGCATTTTTTCTAGTTTTTCTGTTTTTTGCACTGATCACAATACCATTCTTTAGCCTTTCTTTTTACTTTTGCACATTCGTAGTGGAAATGCCTATTGCACTTTGCACAAGTGGGAATGAATGTCCAGCCACTGAATTTTGGGCCATTTTTTCTCGTCATTTATCTACTCACCGGCATGTAACGCGTATGGGTCATTAAGACGTATTGCATTAACTAGTGTTAATTTAGCAGCATAACTTATTTTATCACTAGGTGATAAACTGTTGTAGTACGCTGACAACATCGCTAGCTAGCAGATCGCAACTGCTGAATAACCGCGTATAATCACAACATTCAACCAGACGCTTTAAAGGACCCGGCACTCTTTGCAGTCAAGATGCGCGCGCATCCGCCGTGTTGATAAACAAATAATCCCTCTATAGGATGACCAGAGAAGAAAACGGAGCTTTGGTGAATAACAGCTGGGGGACTTCTGCAGCCCCCCTTTTTCAGCAAAAGCAGCCACAAGCAAGTCACATGGGAGCCACCAGAGGTGTGAAAACCTACCCCCCTCCCTGTGAGGACAGAGAAAAGCACAGAGCACACAGGATTCTGTCTCTTTTGCCTCTTCTGCTCCTGCGCTCAAAGCTGGGGCCCACTGTGGCCCACAGTGGAGATGCGGGTCCCAGGGGAACCAGATTCCCAGAACCATCAAGGATAAGTCAGAACTTTTATGAACCGAACTGCTGCAAACAGAACTTTTGCAACACATTTCTCTCGAGTTTCAGAACTTACAGAGCCAAACTGGATGAGAACCATATCCTTGGGGGTGAGACTGAGAGGACCCCTGCGGTGAGACTGAGACATTGAGTCCCTGACTGCAGAGCTGCAAAACTGGATGAAATTCAAGCTTTCCAAATGGACATGGAAAAAGGTTTGCAGGTCTGGCATGATTAGGGACAGAACAAGCAATGTGTCTTTTGATGATGCTAATCATATCGTGTGTTTACTGCTGAGTAAAGACAACGCTAATTAATGCTAAAGAATGGACTGCATGCTACGCTATGCTACAGGAATATATGTTGAGCTGTTGCTAAAGCTTAGACAAGCGTTATTCACTAAGGATTTAAACACTGATATAACATTAGTGTTTATGTGTTCCTCAAACGCTCATTACATTTCCATTATCAAGTCTGACCAAGAGTCATTTAGTGGAATCCTGATGTCTATTCGCTGCTAGCTATTTCAAGGAAGGAAAAGAATCATTTAGCTAAAGGTTTTTGGTTCTTGATTAAGCAAATCATTCAATAAAACATTATTTGGCCAAATAATGTTTTATTCACCTCATGGATTTGCATTGTGAATTGGTCTGAAAATATTCCAATTTCTTTAAAATTAGTGAAAAGCTAATTTGATCATATCCCATATTCTTCCAGATAAACTTTGGTTTCAAACTCAAAAATCCATCTTAAACTGTAATATGGTTTTTAACCATGCTTCCCCTCCTCTTTGTACATAGTAGTTAGTTTAGTTAGTTGTTTTACTAGACTTAGTTGAGAGTGTTAAACTGAAATACGTTTAACTTGGAGCTGAATGATTTTTGTTAATAAAATCTTATATTTTGAACAGAAGTTGTGGTGAATTTGTTCTGGTGAACTTCTATCGCTGTGCAATAGAAAGCATCCTAACCAACTGCGTAACAGTGTGGTACGGAAGCTGTTCTGTTGCAGAGCGCAAGGCACTGCAGCGGGTGATGAAAGCCGTCCAGCGCATCACTGGAACTGCACTACCCACCACTGAGCACATCCAGGAGAAACGCTGCCTACATGGAGCCCGCAGCATTCTGAAGGACTCATCCCACCCAGCCCACAGACTGTTTTCTCTCCTGCCCTCCGGCAGGCGTTTCAGGTGCCTCCGGACCAGAACCAGCAGACTAAAGAGCAGCTTTTCCCTCAGAGCTGTCTCTTTATTGAACTCTAATCCTCACGGATAGACTCTACTCTCCTTCCTAACACCTACCACCATTTTGCTATTCTGTTTTTTTACAAGGTGTAAGGTTCACCTGCACTCCTGACTTACTATTGTAACAACTCTTTATATGCATCTTGCACTACTCACTTTGACTGATTAGTGATTTGCACTGCCGGCTGTTTAGTCACTGTACCAATTGTTTACATTTACATCTGCAATAACGTACTTTAACTGTAAAATGCAATTACCTTCCACTGCACTTCAATTTAGATAGCTTCTGTCCAAACTCTATTTATTCATTTTATAGTCAAACCCATTTGTATATTATGCTATTGTACATAACTGTAAAAACCTTTTTATTTATTTATTTATTTATTTTTAATAGTAATATCGATCTGTTAATTATATTCAGTACATATCCTGCTGTAAATTTAGTTCATAACACTAGTGATCTATATATTATATTCATTATTTATAATGGTATTCATCTCTATACTCATTCAGTAGAAATACCCTTGTCCTGTATTTATAGAACCATTATTTATCCTGCAGTTGCTGCTATTGCATTCTGGTTAGACCTAAACTGCATTTCGTTGCCTTGTACCTGTACATGTGTAAGGACAATAAAGTTTAATCTAATCTAATTAAGAATATTACACGCACTATTTGATGTGCCAAAAGTGCTAAATTGATCAACATGTAATATATTTGTATTAATTACGTTATGGTAAACATATTTTACTCGAACTTCCAAGATTTTAAATCAAGACTGAATTGAAGTACATGTCTGTTAATGCTATAGTATTTTTTACTTGCAAACTGTGAATGAATGATGCCATATACTCTTATGCTGTGTCTGTGCATAACAGTGCAGGTAAAATCATCTGTGAAACGTCTTCCCACAGCCAGAAAACTGCTTGTTTTTTGCACCAAAATGAGACACACTTAGGCATTTTAAAGAGACGACTCTGTGGGAGTGGGGAGTACCAAGATGGCGGCACATGACCTAACTTTTTTGGGCTACCAGCAATCCAGTGAATAAATAGAGATCAGTGTTTAGGACGGCCATGGCCAATCAGGAGGAGCATGAAATCAGAGTTGGTGGGACTTCCTGTTTCTGCAACCTCTATCTAGTACAAATAATGGATGTCTATTCTATTAACATTTCTCTATATTTTTAATGGGTCTGTTTAATGTGTTGTCTTCTCAATTCAGAGGGTCCCCAGCCTGTCTTTGCCTAGCCCCAAATTTCCTAAAAACTGCCCCTGTTTTAGACGAGGCCCCCCTCAGAACTCAATCATCTGCAGCCTGTTTCTGTGTCATAGCAGTACGCTGTGGTATTTGCTGAATGCTCCACTTTTTCCATCCCATAATTTTTTTCCGTCTGCTCTCTAAGGTCCAAGCTCTGCTCCCCTCCTCCAGCCGCTGCCTTCAGAGCAGCAGCGTTTCTCTGTTTTGTCTCTATCTGCCAGAGGGCAGTCACTGATTAACTGGAGGACCAGACCCAGCAGCCTCCAACTTTCCATAGAAACTCTGAGCTGCAGATGTTTGTTGGTCTCACCTTCCTCCAAGCTCTTTCCTGATGTCCTCTATGGGTATCTCAGGGGTCAGAGCTTTGTTTGAA